GTTTATCGCTTTCTTTGCTACTGATAAACTATTCTCAATCTAGCTTCCGTTTTTTTTTTTTGAATAAAAAGGGTTACCTCAAAATTATTGTGAACTGGGCCTTTAAGTAGTGGACTACTTCCGAAACGATCCGCACCACACGCATTCATTTTCGGCGTCGATACTTCTCACTTTCGTTTCGTGCTTACAGTAAAGAGGTAATTGAAGTTGAAGGTAATTGGAATTGATTGAATGAGGAGCCCTAAGAAATGAAATTGCTCCTGTTGACTTCCTAAATAGCCAGCAGTCTGTCTTTTCTGGGATTTATGGGCAACCTTTGACGAAACTTTCCTGATAACTATACGCCCCATCAAGGCCTCTCTCAGAATTATGTTAGACTGAATGAGTATGGACCTTTCCCTGTTGTTTTCTGCCCTGATTCCCACGAGATGAAAGCTTCACTCCATAATCAACTACAACTGTTGTGTTACACTTGTTAAAGTCGTCAACTGAAATGTACTGGGCAACATAAAGTTAAAGTAAGGTTTTTGGCGTTAATCAATCCTGTCTGAGGGATGCGTCATAGGCACATGCAAAAGCACTTCGCTGTTCTTCATGTAATGTTGGAGGCTCTATGTAACGTTGGAGTGAGGTCACCCTCGTGACTACCGGAATTCCACTGATTTCCCTCTAAAAGGTCTACTTCATGTTTTCAATTAGTGGCAGGAAGTTCGACAAACAAAGTGGCAGGAAGTTCAAGCATATCACAAATTCAACCGAAACCCTTTGGAGAATTCTTCAAGAATTCTACCGGTAAACCTAGTCAATCTTCTCCAAATGCTTCCGTTTTCCCCCTAATCAGCTGGAATTTGCTGCCACCTAAACAATCAGCAAGATCCGGTTGATTCTTCTTATTATATGACTGATTGGAGTTTCGATTCTGGTAGTCTTCCAAATTTTTCGACCACTTTTTTGAAGCTAACAGCGAGATCGTGCCTCAACGTTATGTTAAGAACTCAACTGTTCGAAGCTACAGATAGCAGAACGTCAAGTACCATTTATACTTTGGAAATGCGTTCTCTCTATCTTGCGAGTCCGCATATGTGCGGACATGTACATCAAGATCCTGCAACAAAAAGGAGTAGTAGTCCTGCAACAATAAGCAGTCTTGGTATCATCCTACAACACAACCTCCAAACGTGGAATTCATAATAATTGCACTGTTTATACGAAACCTATACCCTTCGCTGCCTTTTGGAGGGAATCGGTATGGTGAGGTTAAAAGGCAGTTATTGTACAACAAAATCTGTACCGCAAACCATCAAGGGCATCAGCCGTTTCGCTGTAACACGTGGGCTTTCATTAGGGATCACCGAAATTTTTGTGCTAAAAGATGGAGAAGTTCCAGGAAAGCCTCTCCAATTCATTCACATTCTTCCATTTCTGAATTAGTCCTAATCTTTGACGACTCTTTGCGAGAGAGTAGCTGGTCGGAAAGGGTAAGAGTGTTGTTCCCCAATGTAGTTAATTGAAGCGTAATTGTGGTAGCAGTGATCCACTACGATCAGAAGGCTTTGGAATCCCAGTTCTCCCGGCTGGCATCATTTTCTATCAGTTTACTATACTGGAAGGAGTGATAACTTCACATTAACAATTAGGGAATGGGTATGGCAAGCAGGAATGGCAACATGAACGTCACTGAGAACAAAAGGAATGTATCCAAAGCAAATATAGCTAACTTTTTATTTACGAGTTGATCAGTGATAGTAAAAAAAACGTTACACCAATAACTTCGCGGTACTATGTACATTCATTTGAGCAGGCGGAGCCACAATTATTAGATGCAACTGAAATGTTACTAGGTGGCAGAAGGACGAAAATTTTTTTCTTGTATTCATCTATCTCTTTTGTAAGAGATGCGACGCACACCTTGAGCTTAGCATTGGTTCTTTCCATCTCGACTCGTTCTTTTTGAAGTTTCAGCCACCTCAACGTGAAAGAAATCTTATGTTTGCAAGAGAATTTACAACACTAAAAAATCACTAAGATACCTTTCCTTGCGTTTCTCTCTATAGCGACAGGCTGCCCTTCTGCTGTGTTTCCGTTTTCCCAAATCACCTATAAAAAACAATGCCAGATCCATGTAAAGAGTACTTTGAGAAATCCGAGAAGCGAAGAGTTCTCGAGCGCCCTTTTCCTTTCTCATTCTTCGCATGCCCATAGACACAGTTTGCTGTGGTTATGGGAATCCGTCTTCTACCGAGCGGTCCCCACAATTTTCGGCTGGTTGAAGGAAATAACGATATGAACGCACTGAGAAATTAGGTCCTACCACATCACCACACCATGTTAAGAGAGGGAAGCACACCATTCGACTATATTTAAACACAGCTCGAAGCCGGTACAACCACACGTCACTTTATTCCTACGTGCATACTTTCTTTTTCATACTCGCTATCAACATCACGTTAATCATGCCTTGATGTTAAATCGCCGCACTGTTCTCGAATAAGGATGGTTGAGATAATTCCATGAAATTTCAAAAACGTTTTCAAGCTATAATTGAATTTACTCATTGTGGTAACTAACCCGTTTTGTCTTTGTTGATACTCTCTGCTGCAAGAAGCACAATGTCAACGAGATCATCCATATCCACCGATTCCTCGACACCATCGATATTTCTGCAAAAAAAAAGTTTTTTTTTTTTGAGTAAGTAACAAGTTCTAGGAAATGTATCCTTTAAAGCAAAGTTTAACTTAGTTTCTGAAATTTCTACCTAGCACAGACCTATAACCCCAAGGATTGCACATGGGACGCTAGACGAAACAGGACCCAAATGAGGCGTAATAAGAGCCCGAGCTGCCTAGACTACGTACACACCCAAAGACGGGGTACCGGACGACTTCTCACGATGTTGTAAAGGCTGTAGAGGTTGCAGGGTGGCGGAACTTCTCCCCGATTTCCCACGTTCATTTTGGCATGCCGCGAATCTTTTTCAGTTGTCTCGCGACTTCAAACTGTAATTACCGTACTCAGCCCGCCTCCCCCCACCAAACGACAGGACCTTATCCTTTTTGTTGGCTGCCTTTTTTTCTGAGTGGTTTTGGCTAATGCTTGTTAGCTTTCGTGTACAGAACAGAAGTTTGTATTGCTTAGGCTATCAACGAAAGAACATGACTCTGAGAAGGTCATGATACACTCATGTACACCCTTTCATTGGGTATCGGGAGTCAGCGAAAAAGACAAACTATCTCTGTGGAATGCTTAAATTCTGAAGAGGCCTATGGAGAGAATGTGTTATTTCTAATCATAGAGGTGACCGCGACACAAGAATCTGGTGTGTTAAACAAGCCTTCATCACCTCGCTCAGAACAATAAGCGGCTTGCGGAACGAAAGCAACTGATTTTCGTTGTTCAGAGATTTCTATTGGTAGAAAAAATGCCAAGAGCGCACCTTATGGAGCAAGTTTTCCATGGATTTGTACCAAAGAAATCGCCTTTTTGGACTGTAGAACAGTCGTCGTCGTCATCACTTCTGAATTAAGGAGAAGTCTATTATCCATAATAGTATTGGCTTTTTCGGCCCAAACTTACAAAACTGTGGAGAAATAATGAAACTTTCATCACAGTCAACTACGAGTTCCCTTTCAAACAGTAGCGGTTGAATGTGAATATGTTCTTCAGAATAAGTTGGAAGGCAGCTGGTGTACAAGTTAGTGTTCTCGTTGTCCTTCCTCCTACCCTCCCTCACCTCTCACTTCTACCGCAACACGTGAAACTCCTTTTCTTTCGTCAGGAAATAGGAATTTTTCACAAACAACCTATGGCTTTTGGTTCTTCCGTCACTATCTGTGAGGTAGGCTAGAGCAATGCGTGCATGCCAACGCAGAACGTTACCAAACACGGTCCTGAAAGCTTTGCTGACCGCGGTACACGCCCTCCCGCCAAGGAAATTCGACCAATTTCTTTCATAGCTTCTAAACCCTTTTTCCGAGTTCTAAAACATGTTTGAATAGAATTATGAATTTGTAGAAAATATCTTGAAATTGAGAACACATCCTATGCCCTGTAGGTGGAGCTTTTCCTGTTCAGACGTGCCTAGCACACCTCAGATCATTCTCACTTTTAAATTTTTTTCTCTGGCTTCCAAAAAAAANAAAAAAAACCGGCTTACGAATTTATTTAGTCAGTACCGCCCGCACCGAAGACGCTCCTTCCGCAGGTGAGTCACCTCCCACTGATTTGTTGACCTCACCTCACCATTGCCCGCTTTTTGACCGTACCCTGACTTTTCTGGAACTAAATCAGGAAATTTTGCTCTTGGAAACCCCATTCCGGTGCATGCCCATCCCAAACTTCACTTCACCTTTCCAAGTGTTCCCTGAATCTCGTGACATAAGGTTAAATGACAGACAAAGATAGTGATGGATCGAAAGACAGAAGGAAAGACAAACAGAAAGATAGATAGGCAGATAAACTGATAGACGGGTAGATAAACAGGCGGGCAAACAGGGCTTGGTAAGGATGACAAAGTACAACTTTGAGACCATCCCGTCAAGTTCGGTACTTTGAACTCTGGGAAAGCACCATGACTTCTGAATTGAGCAGATAAAATCAACGTACACCATGTATACGAATGCATAGTGTATTCAATTTCAAATGAGTCGGCCTGGGAGATGAAGATGTTCAACATTTGCCTTGGTATGCGCTACGTACATATGTACTAATCTATAACAAATAACACTATGTAGAGAGTCTATTTCATTTCCGTGTAGTGTGTTTCCGTGTTTAGCCCTCCCGTGCAGAAAAAACCCGAGCTATATGTTATGTCGTTCGACAAAAAAAAAGTTGCACTAGAACAACCACAGACCATTGTTAGAGCGGTGACCTGAATTTGGTGAGAATATCGAAAAAACTGATGGTAATTGTAAAATAAATGTGGACAAAAGAATCACAAAATAATGAACGCTGAACACATTCAATTCTGGAAACAGTAATATCTGTAAAATCAATATAAAGCAAAATGATAAAATCTTCTGGCGTTAATTTATGCCGTCTGAGGGATGCCTCCCCAATTCGACTTCCATTAAGAGTCATAGTGGCATATTGAATGCTTATGTGGCCTACGCTACGACTCACAGTGGCCAGCTGATGTACTAGTCAGTACTTTCATCATTTCAAATGGATCTGGTACCAAACAATCAATCTCGGAGGAATGGAAAGCTTGGTCCGTCTCAGCGGATATCGTCCGGATTTGAACCCGCGACCACGTGGGTGTGATAGTGAGCCACTTGCCACACACCACTTCCGCCCTGTTAAGTCGATATATAAACAACTAATAATTAAATAAAAAATTCGAGTAAGAGACAAGTCTACGAAAATTGGAAAGTTCCATCCCTTCTCTCTAACACTAGGAAGGTGTTGCCGTCATAGCGGGTAGGTAATGATGCTCTCCAAGCAGTATGCCAAAACATTACCACTTACCTTTTTAAAAAGAACTGAATCGATGGTAAACTGAATGCTCAATCCTTCCCCCATCCCACCCTTGTGCACTAAGTAATCATTTCACTAACCCCGATGTTCCTTCCCTCCAAAGCCTCAGTTTGGAAAAAAACTATACTCCCCTGGCTCAAAGACGTTTCAAGGACTCGGCCACACTTCCTTCTACGCTTAAAGCCCAAATTCAATAGTTCAATAGCTCAAATCAACTAGCCAAAAAAAATTACAAAGGTAATGTCGAAGTGAAAATTAAAAAATAGTTGAAAAGTGATACAATAACTTCCTGAACAGCACATCATATTGTACAATGTAAATTTATTTACTTATTTATTTATTTATATGATCCAAAGAACTTGCCGCTACCCTCACCTTCTGTTTTTCCTGGGTATGACATCGACGAGTTTTTCCACGGCCTGTCGTTTTACTGCTCTCATAGATTGATTGGCTGAAACGATGGAGGCGCCAAATTGTACGAGCGATGGAGTCATTGGTTGTGGTCCCATCCCGAGCATGCGCTCTTTATAAAACCATCTTACGCAACTAGAAATTGGACGCGGCGAGGTGTTATGCAATGTTGCCCAGCTATGACTCACTCAGTTGTACCCTCACGTGGCTGTCATCACACCAGCCCTCGGCATGATAAACAACGCTTCGGACTTTCAAGCAGGGCAGTAGGACTTTACCTCAACTTGTCACAACCACGGTGGTGAAGAATATGACAATGATTTATATTTTAAAGCCTTTGTTCTTAGAGGCGGATTAGAAGAAAACACGAGAAATTTATTCAACTACGAGAGGCTCTTAAGAATTAGCTTCTACCCTACTGCTAATTCGGAAATTAATGAAGTATATTCACTAGTTCCATAGAACAATGAAATCGCTGCAACTCCAGAGGTAAAATCAGTTAAAGGACAAGCCAAAGAACTACTTTATGTACGAGAATCGGAGAGGGGCACATTTTTTTTTGTATGTTCAACATACTCTTTTGCTTAGAGTTCATCGTGGAAAGGTGTGGAATACAGCATGTTCATCAGTGCATCGGTGCGATTTGTGGATTGCCAGTATAAAGGGGTAAAGTTTTTGGCGTTAATCAATCCCGTCTGAGGGATGCGCCCCCGCACTCGACTTCCATTCAGAATCGTAGTGGCGTAATGAGTGCTTATGTAGCCTATACAATGACTTGCGGTGGCCAGCCGATGTACAAGTCAGTGCTTTTATCCTCCCAGACGTGTCTGGTACCAATTCACCGACCCCGGAGGGATGCAAGGCTTGGTCGGCCCAGGCGGGCATCGATCCGGGATTCGAACCCATGACCGTGCGTGTGATGTAGTGCGCCACTTGCCACTACACCACCTCCGCCCTTGGAGCCCATTGGATTTCCAGTATATACTCATATAAATCTTATCCTCTAACCGTCACCCCTTCGCCCCTTTGACAGAATGGTAAATTGTGTTATATAGTATTATTTATTTAGTAATATCCCGACCTCTATATACATACATACAAACAAACAGACACACCAAACTTGTGGGTTATATATAGTAGATTTATTCCGGGAAGGATGAACGACCCGTCTCTCCTTGTGGTGACGGGCATATGGAAAACATCTGTAAACACCAAATCTATAAGCTTGGAGCTCACTGAATGCAATACTGTCGAGGATAAAGGTAGACATTCTAACGCGAAACTCGAGATTACGGCGCCAAGCCTGGTGACGTCTAATTACGTCTGTATTAGAGATTCCCATTAATTCTTCTTTTCTCGATTTTGGTAAATTTTGATATGCTATGGGGCCGACATATGGATTTGATAATAATTACCACATTTGGTAATTTTCAATTTTCACGGGTAATTGTAAGTGCTGGTTGGGCTCTTGCCGCCTTCTTTTTTGTGATTTCTCGGATGCACGGTAGAGTCCCTCAAAGTGCCGTTTCAGTGAAGGTCCCTGACTACAAAAGGTCAGGATACTTTCAAAGAATTTTCGTAATAATCATTTGAATGAAGTATGGTCGAACTGCAAGCTGTCGCTAGTGTACAATCGAGTGCTTCTTGGTTTTAGCTTTGTTTATAAACTGATATAAATGAACATTACCGGCTCCTTGCCCTGTGTGCATGCGGTCATCTTGTATGCGCAAATCGTTATGGCTGCAATGAACGCTGAGGTGATGAAGTGTTGAATTCCATCCGTAATATCCAGGCTGAAGACAGCTAATAACATTTACAGCTTTACCCTAATCACATCAAAATTTATTTTCAGTATTTCCTGCTCGTTTTTATGTTTCATTTTTCAAGTTACTTTATTGAGATGAGTTCAGATTAACACAGTGATGATTCCTGCTGTTAAACGATGATTTTTTTTTTGCAACAAGCTTGCCTTCTAAAAACATAGAAGGATTTTAATGGCCCCCTCAGACAGGGGTGTATAGAGCCGGTGATGGACGACCTGTATTCTGCAGTACCATGCCCCACTAATATAAATCAATTTCATAGGAAGTGAGGGATGCATTTACCATGTTTAACCCATCAAAAGTGGGTTGAGAGCAGCCACAACAGTACGCATCGAATCCAATGTCCTTATGATCGTTCTCTCCTAAGCAGAGCTGTTGATATGGACACCAATTGGAACCCATTGCAGCTGTAAAGGCGTAAGGAGTAGAGTAGTCAGTCGACTGCTAAAATATCACGCTCTTAAGTCCTTTAGAAAGTTTAGAAACTTCAGAATGCATGGTCCATCTAGGAAGCGCGACCTAACTCTATTTTCATTTGTTGATTTCAGCCCCTGCGCCCGATACAGGGACTAACAGTGGGCGACGCAACCTACTTAGTCTAACTACCACAACTAAGTTACCCTACCTTACTTGCTCCCTAAGCAATGTACAAAGGTAAGGAACACTAGTTTATTAGTAAACTCAGCACAAGAAAAGACCAAGTAGGAAGAGGATAGGCGGTGAGGGTAACCTATTGCGCACAAGGCATTAAGGAACATACTACAAGGAGGGGAATATCTCCACAAGGAAATAGAACTAATAAGCATAAATAATAAATGCAACATGTACACAGTAGAATAATAAGGCCATACACAACGGACATAATACAAATAAACAACACTCACCTTTCCATTCGATCTTCAGATCCTTAGAGCTGCAGCCAGGCCCCCATCGGCCTCAGGGCGTACTGCTCCCCCCAAGAAGGGCAGGTTGGGTGCTGGTCGGGCTCATGCTGGCGCTCCATTGCCTGTCGGGCGGGCAACTTGATAGCTTTACCCGACTATAACGACTAGCTGCCGACAATGCCGACTGACTAGGGAGACGGGCTGTGGGACCAATTTTGTGTAATCGATTCACCGTGCCACAATTCGCCTCGTTATTACAGTTCTTGCGTTGTTCATACAGCTCAAGGAATACGCGATCATTATTTTTGGTATGATTCTATGTCAGTTCTTTTGTGCCTGTTTTTCTTACTTGCTGCTGCATTCTGCTAGATTAATTCGCGTGCGGCTTTACCCGACTGACTATGCTGCTTGAAGGAACGCGCACAACGCACACGTCCGCTACGCGTTGTGGCGGCGGAGTCCGCGATAACTTCACTCACCCACAATCGTGCCCATGCACTGCGTGATCAGCCAAGGCTTTCGGTAGCAGGCGGTGTTCAAGTGACCACTTCAATTTCCCCGTTACATTATAGCTCGATTGGCGTAGCCAGCTGAATCTCCATTCGAACCTCTGAACCCTGTGTGAGGCAATAATGTGGATTAAAACACAGCCAGATGCGAAAAACCGCAAGATATTTGTAATGATCGTTTCTTCTCACACGTTCTCTGCAGTGTAGGCAACCTTCCGTGACTACATCGACGATCATTAGTCGCCCTATACCCACAAAGGCCGCGAAAATTTCGGGGTTTCGGGTTTTAGACGAATATTGGAAGTTGTGGTCCAGTGTAGTGTAAAGAAGTACCTTGTGGATTTTTACAGCACTCTTGCCGACAAAGTGCCCAGTGAGTATCCCGCAATCAGTCTAGGCGTTAGCCCGAGGAAATGGAGGGGGAGGGGGAGGGGACCGGTAAATGCCCTGGCTATGGAAGGTATTCTCCAACCAGCTTGTCGACATCGTATCGCCGCACATTCTCGTCCTGCCGAAGTTTGAACGCAAGTAAAGGAAATCTTCTGACAAGAGGAGACAGGCCTATGTCATCGCCGGAGAGAAGGAACAGAAGAAATGTCGCGATTTTGAAGCGTTTTACATGCATTAAAGACGTAAAAAGGAAGAATCACGAAGTGGCACATGCAGTGTAACAGACTGGACGTTACCCGATTAAACAAAAGCTGTCGTAGCCGGTTTCCCGAAGGGACGGGGTGGGAGTAGGGTGGGGAAGGGGGCTTGTAAAGGAGTACCTCCTGTGAAGGACACCGTAGTTATGCTAATGATTAAGGCATAGATATCTCTATCTGTACTCAACTCGACATGGACCGTCACGTGATCCCGCGCAATCGATCTTCGCCCGGTCTGCTTTTTCTCTCTAAGCCTCCTTACTGGCATACTATCTTGACAATACTCATCCTTCTACTAAAATGAAGATTCAGTCCGGCGCTCGGCTCTTACAGTACCCCCCTGGCTTACTGCTCGTCTCTCACAGTAACACCCTGGCTTACACCACCCCCCACCCCCGTGTCCTTGCCCAAAGCCCCTTTTCGACGCGTCGTATATGTGACGGGTAAAAATATGCGTACAAACATAACACGTGTAATACATGTGTTAATATTGTGTACAGTGTTAATACACGTGTATTAACACGTGCCGGATTACTGTAAGAACCGAGTGCCGGACTGAATTTTCGTTCTTGTCATCCTTCTGGTCAACTAAGTGAACCGAGAGGACAGTCTCGACTCTTCTGCATCTCAGGACGGCAGACAAAACTTTGCTCTGACCTTATCGTGTACCTCGACGGTGGGAACTCTGCCAGTAAGCAGTTGTTGATTATCTTCAGGTATTTATTCTAGCGATTCTACAAGAGCCCGAGCTCCATTACCTGGGGGCCAAACTTTTAGTTCGGTTGTTGAGGTAAGTTTTAATTGGCTGATTTTTGTGGAACCCCCGAATTCCAAAGGCGTCACAGAACCTAGGGCCGTTGAGAGAGCGGTGAGCTTGGATAGCTGCTGGACAGAGTAGTCCGGATGGTCAACTGGGGAAGGGGACTCTGGTCTATGGTTACCCAGCGGATACTTTGCAAACAATTATTGCGCAAATTTTTTTGCGTGTGCCAGGCATACCATGCTAACTGAATGAGCATTTGCAGGAGCAATCCCCCTTAAACTGATAGTTTCAGACCAAAAGCAGATGTCGGACGACATGAATCAAGAGCTCGAGCGTATTCTGAATGAGGCGGAAGCTGCAGACGAGAGATGGGCCGAGATGCAGCAGGAGCTGACACAGCTGGAAATCCCAAGTCGTCATTTGACGTAAAAGAACCTGCAACAGGTGCGAGCTACCTGTTACAGGTTCTTTTACTGTCCCAATGCAGTCACAACCTGACAAATCTTGGGAAATTACCTGAGCAAATGGCATCGATGTTCAGGTAGAATGAGCTATTCTCGGCGGAGGATATTAAGAGAGGTCTTCGCAGTGCCCTGGACGATGTGTTGGGAGGGTTGCGCTTGGCGCTAGATCCTTTGGGCGAAACGGTGTTTAGGGTTACGGAAACGGCGTCAGAAGCATATGCAAAGAGTAGATGAGATTTTTGATCAAGCGTAGGATGTCGATACTTGTACGTCATGTATTGTTGTCATGTATTGTCATATATTTGATGCCAACTATCCTACTTGCCTTGTCTTTGAAGCGTTATCCTTGAAATAAAGGATGGATCGATCAGATGGCTTCGCTATTGAGTTGGCTCAGTGTGCTTGGGGAAACGCCATTGTAACCAATCACCGTCATGGGAATCGAGAGGCTGGGCAGGAGGTATATAAGCGTGAGGAGGTTGCAGTGAAGCGTTTTGTTGAAGTGTCTTGGCTCGGAGCGGTTGGATTCGAAAAGACCTACAGTTACAAGAACTACGAGATACCGGCAAAAGAGGCTAGAAGTAGCGTCCCTAGCCCTAGGTCGGAAGGCGGTTAGCCCACTGTAGCTTTGAGCTGCCAGGACTAACGCTCTAAAACCCCTGCCGCCGGAGCCCTCGTTGTGCAACTAAGTGCACCGAGGTCAAATTTTTCCGGATTTGCTTTTCTGTGAGGAAAATTCAAATGAAAACTTCTGAAGACGATTGAAATCGCTCTTTATCCGAAAGTATCTGATTGATTTCGCAACTATTGATTTGTGTTTGGGAGAAAAAGAGGGAGGGGTCCCTTAGTTGGGGCGAACCGATGAGTGAGCTTCACCATTTCCTACCAGCAACCTCCTTCCTCTTCTTTACTTCGCTGAGAAGTCGGTCATCATCGATAGCAACTGGTCGTCTAGACGAGATTCGTCATAGAGCGTTGCAGTCCCAGAATGAAAGGGAGCGAGTAAACGAACCCAGGTCCTCTACGAATGCCGTGTTTATGTTGTGGTCACGAAAATTCGTAGAAAGCGGTTATTGGAGAGCCATCGGAGACACATATCAGAACGGTTTTCTGTCTTAGGCTTCCAAGATAGAGAACCAAGTGGAAGATTAGAGGTACTGGTACGATAGCTGCTCTTTTCCTAATATGCAGTGAAACCTTTTATTGAAGAACATAAAAAGGATTAGGTGCTCATGACAATACAAAGAAATACTCGATATGCCCTTCAGAAGTGAGAAAACAGACAACACTGGCCTATTTTTTCGATCCTACCATTGATCGGCATGCCTAAATGAGATACTAAGTGAAGGAGCGAGAGCAAAGATTCATGGGCGATGAGAGTGTTTATCGAGCTAATAAACGGCAGAGATAACGCGGGGCCTATCTTTCAGGCCCGACGTTTGCGATCTTGTCAGTGCTTTTGTACTTATAAGTGACCTTCTCATGGTTATCAGGATACAACGAAATGAGCTTCCGACAATTTCGCCAAAACTTTCTTAAAGCAGTTCATGGTTCGTGTCTTTAACTTACGTCTCAGATACACTTGATGACGATAGGCTCAAGGACCACAGAAGCGGGCTGTCCTACATTGGTTTCCGAAGGCTTCTTTTAGCACAGTATCTCGTCGATGTTGGAGCTCATGCGCTTCCAGGAGAAGGACTCGGTTTCGGTTCAAGTGACCGAAAAGTCCGTATTGCTGAGTTCTAGTTCTATGCAATCAGATGCAAAAAGCACTGGAAACGATTCTCTACGAAAGTTATAAACAACACATTTTTCCAGTCGAGTTGTTGTATTCGATTTGCCCTTGCCCCACACCTTTAGGTTCCCAGCATCCCAGGACGATCAACTTATAAACGACGATTCGAACAGGTCTGTCTGTTTTGGCGGTGTCGTTAAGGAAGGCGCTAAGCATGGTGGTAGCAGTCGAAAAGTGAAAGTCGTTCCATCGTAGATTCGGAAACGTGAGCCTCAATTTTAGCGGGCGTTTTTCGACCATGACAGACTACATCCGCCTGCGGAGCGACCCCGCCATAGACGACGACCCCCGTGTGCTCAACTACTGAGGCTTACTCTTGCTTCTACTGGTAACTAAATTGCCTAATTTGACTACATGATTCAGTGGGTTGTTACAAACACCATCAAGTTCCTTCACGGTAGGTTGTAGTGATTATCCAACATGGCGGACTGGTCCATCGCATTTTTCCAATTCACTGACTGAAGGCTTTGAATTCCCTGATAAACCATACTTTTTACAAAAAACGATTTTACCATTTGAATCACGCTACACTTAATGTGTCTTCTACTGTAATATCCACATGTTCAAGAGATGATTCAGTGGCAGTATTTATTGCAGTCGATATTCTCCAACAGAGGAATCTAACATGGAGAAAAACCAACATTGAATCACAGAGCGAAGCTTATATACAGCTCGCGCAAAAAAGATACACATTACAGCAGTGAACATTGCATAGCTAAGAAATCTCGTGACAACGAAGCTAATGCATTAGAATGATAAGTAATAAACAAAGTCGCGACTGGTCGCGCCACTCCCGCCACCACAACCATACAAAGTAACTAGTTGTAAGCAATTGAAACAGCACAAATTAAGCACAAATCAAAATATCACTTGCGGTTAATCTCTCAAAAGATCTCCGACCGACCGGTTCTGCGCTGCGAAGATGACGGCTCTTTTGAACTCGATCGAACGACGACACGTCCAGAGCATCGATTCAGAACCACGCCGAACAGACCACTACGTCGGCGAATCGAACCCTCGACGACAGAGAGTACGCTGTTGAACGGAACCAGATGAAGGGCGCGGGAATAGAGGACGTATGACGAAAGGCGGACAGCGGAATAGTCGGACGTCAGAAATGAATAGAAGCAGTGGACGTATCGTGGAGGACGAACAGCAGTCGGAAGTGAATACAGCGAAAGGCGAAGGCATTACGACGATGGGGGGAAGAAAAGGTGGGAAGGGATGAAGACCAGGAAACAAGCACTGATTGTAAGCGCAAACAGAGGCCGCGGCAGAGACTTAGAGTTTACGCCGCTAATAGGATGCTGATGAATAGGAGGCTTCGGTTGGGCAGAGAAGGACATTGTGACTTCCGTTGCAGAAGGAGCACGAAATCCCGCAGTTTTGGTGACGGGCTTGGAGGCACCTGTTAAAGGACGAAGGTTGGACGCTTGAACGGCGCGTGACACGGGATCCACGAATCGGTAGCACCATCCTGTCGGGCGATGGTCTTTGTTGTCCTCGAATGTGCAGAAAACGCAGCTGGATCTTAGTCTTGGTCTCTCATGCAAAGCGTCAAGTTTGTTGTACACCATTTCGGACTGGCGGTTAAGCAGGTCAGCAATTGCATCGATTCTTACGTTGAATGGTGCGGTGAACATGTTAAGCTGATCTTTGATGTCCGTGAGTGCGTCGACCAACGGTTCAAGATGGATAGCAACGTCGACATCATCCATTGCTCTGAGTGAGGAGCGGTACGATGAATGAACTTCAGAGCGGGTGAAAAGGCCGAGGCGGACGTTGGTGATGGCAAAGCTGGTACGGATGTTGACGCTACGCTTTTACGCTCCAACTTGAGATCGTACTGGAGGGGTTTCCGTTCCCATACAAAGGTTATGGCGCCGGTAGGAATTCACTTTGTTCGACCAGTTAGTTTCTTGGTGGTGTGGACAGAGATGGGATGCTTTTGAAATAGCTTATTGTGTGCTTGTCTAGCAAACAGATGTCGTCATCTGTTCTGTACCAGCGTCTTCAAGGCAAGCACACTATGTAGGATAGGCTTCCCGTAGAGGAGAGACTTCATTTTCGATCTTGTTGGGTCTTTGGAATCAGAAAGTTCTGACTCACTGGTCGAGCGACCAGATTTTCCTACTTATCTTCGAAGAGCAGACCGAACAATATTCGGCCGATGCACATAACACTGTTCAAGGGATGGTTCAGCGGGAGTATTTAGGCAGAAGATATTCTCCACCAAAGAATTCTTCTATAGAGAAGAACCAACAATGAATCACAGCGCGAAGCTTACACACGGCTGGCGCAAAAAAGATACACATTACAGCAATGAACACTGCATAACTAAGAAATCTCATGACAATGAAACTAAGGCATTAGATATGATAAATGATAGACAAAGTCGCGACTTGTGGCGACACCATACAAGTACAGAAGAGATGCAGTAGCGCTCTAGAGTCTTCGGTGAAATGCTTCTTCAGTTGCATTTTTCAGACGTAACTTCTTTCCTACTGGACCTAATCATGCGAAATTCCAATATGTGTAGCACGGGGTTGTGAATATTTACCACTATTGACCTGCTATTTGATCATGCTCCAAATATACTAGAGNCATAAGGTGCGAATAACTGCAGACGTCAATAACTGTGCTTATGGCGAAGTCTACTATCGCATCAAACCCTTGCTCTTAGTTATGTGGATATTGCTGTTAGCAGTCGAATAATGCTGGGTGGGGTGAGATATGCTCTAGTTAAACATATCCAAATCCCACGCGATTTAGTCTACTAAGAAAAAAGTTATGAGCGAAAAAGCGTCAAGGCGTCTGACCGAAGACTTCTGAGCGCTACTGTATGTTGTCACCCTCCTCTTATGGAGCCTATTAAAGACCTTGACTGGTTTTTGGACGACTACGTCGCCTCATCTATCGATAATCCCAATTGCAGCTTCACCCAATTGTTACACGGTACCATTAATTTAGCGACTGTGGCCGCAATTAGGTGGGAATCATGCTAGTTTCCAATGGTTATTCAACAAGACACACTAGTCTCACATCTACGTTTACGCTGATCTCACATTCCGATCGATTCTCGGAATGAAGTTATAGTTTGACCAGTCGGGCCGCCCGGCTGACGCCGGGCTTCCCTCCTTCTATGGGTTCGCCCGGCTACGCCGGGCGCTCCTCCTTCCTGTGAGAAATTTGCTATGCGTAAATAACACTTCGGATTCTCTTTTTTCTTTGGAACCTCTACACTCTCAGTATCAGCTCCGAATTGAGAGCCTCAATCAATTTTTTTCTGTGAGCCTTCTTCGCTGTGTCCGAATAGAACATCGCATAATATCACAAAGGCGCTTATTCAAAGAAAGAAAAGTATTCAGAGACTTCGTCGCGGCTGAGTCTACCATTAGCTACCATCAATGTTCCCAGCCAACTCCATGTGCCTCCAAGTTTCAACGGTCTGGGTCAGAACTAACAGTATTTATTCACGCGCAGCCCTTTGGGGCGGAATTTAGTCTTGCAACCTATCGTCAGTGTTCATATCCTGCCTCCTGTATTCCTGCAGGTTCGGTCGCTCTAGGTCCATTTTGACACTTCTCTGCAAGCCCCACCCCCTGGAGGAGTTATGTTTTTCCGCTCAAACCCCACCCGTTGTGGACATAGTCCGGTCCTG